CAAAGGGAGCTAGAGCTGGCAAACATAAAAATCCAAGAAAGGACACTCTGAGGAGGAGCCAAGACAGTGGGACTAAAGTGAACAAATTAATCAGTATCTAGACTGAAGGAGCTGGAAAGACATTTCTTGTCCTCAGTGAAAGCAGCAGGGAAAAAATATGGAAAAAATACACCCCGTTGTAGTTAATTCACCATTAAGGCAACAAAATCTTTATTGCTGCATTGGTACTTTTTTCATATTATTTGAGAACAAGAGTTCTGGAGCCAAGATCTATTGAACTCTCACCTAAACAAACATGAGAATCAAGAAACCAATCACATGTGGCTAAAATAGATTATATTAGATATTTTATATAGCTACTAATTAGGCTATTAGTGGGCATAATTACAGAGGGCCATTCCCACAAGAAGGAAAAATAATTTATCTTCATCTGGTGCCTAATACATTTCTGACCTCTGAAGCATTTAATCAAAGGCTGGTGATCAGTATGTGAAGGTTTTTTCCAAAGAGTGATGCCAATACTTAGCCTCCAGTCAAACTGAAGCACAGAAAAGGCTTAACAGCAAGAAGAGAGTAAAGGTTGATGGACTTCAACTTCTGAGTTTACAAGTCAGATGCATAGGAAGGACTAGACAGCAGTAACTAAGAAAAAAAATCAAACAGCAAATCAAGTTAAATGTCAATCCTCATCTAAGTCATAACTCAGTTCAAAATCCCTAAGCTAAAAATCAAAAAAGACAGCTAGTCATATTTCTAAGCTTCGAGTATCAGTCCTAGTCAAACACTGAGTCAAGCAGGTTGTAGCAAACTTATCCATTCAAAATTTCTCTTCAGATGCTTGCTAGAAAGATCAGACCTTTTAGCAGAAAATTGCACAAAGGTTATGAAGCAGCATCTAAATTTAGAAGCAGACATATTTTGGCTAACCCCAAGGCACGTTTTAATCTCCAAAACTTGTGGTTACAAATCATAGGTGCAATAGTTTAAATCATCATTAACCGGTTCCAAAAGCTAGAAAGCTGAAATTACTATTGAGTAGTAGATTATTTAATCACCACCATGAAGTAGTTTGCAGGTCCTTAGCTTGAATTTTATTAGCAAAACCAGTTAACAATACTCCAATTTTTCCCCCTACACAAGGGGGAAAAAAGACTAATCAACTCATTGTAACTACCAACAATATATAAAGTAATGGACCACTCAGTATAAACAGTAATAACCATAATGAAAAACAAGCTTGCTTTGTTTCATAATTCCAGGTCAACACAAAAGCTGCTGTTTAAGATATTTAGACACTTGCTACTCATGAAATGCATGTTATGGTACAAAGTGTTTCCACATCCTGATAGAGAACAGGTAGTTCCTTTATATATTTAAGATATGTTTGCATAAATATGTACAATTAGTGACCAAGTTATTGGTTTGTTTCCAGACCTTGATTTTTATGTAAACAAAATAATTAGCCAGATAGACAGTAAAGTAGGTTTGTCAGTTTTCTAGACTAGGGAACTGAAGACTGTGCAGACAGGACTGTGCTCCTATCTAATGGTCTAATAAAGGACTGTACACTACCACCTGAAACACAGGTTCAGAAGCAATCTTGTAGATCTTCCCTGGCCAGATAAGACAGAAATATTGAGCAAAATGAGGCTTTCAGTCTGGGGGAGGTGAAAGAATTGAAAATTACAACTATTGAGACATGAATTCTATAGTGTGGATCAGCATAGGCAACTTCATGAGACAGTAACAACTTCAGTAGCCATAACTTGTTGTCACATGCTTCACAGTCTTGTAGGGAAAAATAATTATAAATACTCCCTCATACTTTTTCAGGCTAAGTTTTTTGACCAAGATTGAAAAGGCCTTACATTCAACTCAATAACACTTCTCTGCATCTGTAACGTGATAACTTTTGAACACCACATCCACGCAATTCCAAGATCCCAGGGAATGTTCTAGGCATCAATGGCCAAAACCCTACTGATTATATTTGGGGCAGAGGGGTGGTGGTGGTCAGAAAATGGAAAGAGGGAAAACAGGGACACATGAAGCCCCTGCTGACTTGTTAGCATAGCCACAGCCTCAAGCACCTACGCAATTGTCTATAGATCATTCAAAACAACTGCATTCATGGTACCCATTAATGTCTCCCATAATCTCCCCCTGCCAAGAGTTCTGTGTGTCCCTCTGTTCCCCCTGCTCCCATACCAGGGTCCCCCCATTCTCCTCCCAATACCAGAACCTCTGTTTACACTGTCAATCCCACTCCCCCGCCATGCCCTCGATGACAGGGGCTCTGTGTCCCTCCTTCTGAGGTCCCTCCATCTCCCCCCCAACAAGGAGACGGGAAGCTGCAAGGTGTCCAGAGGAGGGGGGGGGGAAGAGGGAAGATGGGAGGGGTGGCATAAAGGAGCTTGTGGGTGGAATGCAGGGATGCAAAGAGCCCCTGGTATGTACAATAAGCTCAGCATACACAAACTAAAGCAGGGGTCTCAAACACGCAGCCCGCGGAGTTATTTCCTGCGGCCCGCCATAGCTCCCCTCACATCCCACCTCCGTCCCCCCAAGCGCGCCGCGTCCCAGCTCCTCCGCCTACCTCCCAGCGCTTCCCGCCGCCACAAAGCTGTTTGGCGGCGCTTAGGACTTTCCAGGAGGGAGGGGAGAGAAGCAGGGACGCAGCACGCTCAGGGGAGGAGGCGGAGAAGAGGCAGGGCTGGGGCCGGGATTTGGGGAAGAGGTTGGCCAGGGGCATGGGGGGGGGGTCTTTTGTATCTTTGTATGAAAAAGGTGTCAGTAATGCGGCCCTCAGGCCAACGTACTAGTCCTCATGTGGCCCTCGTGGTGATTTGAGTTTGAGATCCCTGAACTAAAGTATGAGGAGTGCTCCTGCACACACACTATTTAAGGCAAAAAAAAAGTGCATATGCAAGCATTTAGTACCATCTTCAGCTTCTACATATCCCTTAAGTTTTAGTTTCCTAGTAAATATATTTTAATTATCTACACAATTTACTAATAGTAGCATGTGCTGTTCCCAAAATGCTTCATTATATTGAAAGTTTGTCATCACTCCCCTGCATACACATTATTCTGCCGGGCTGACACTGGTGGCAGTTAGAGAGAGGGGCACTGCACATACATTTAAAAAAATTGTGAGTTCCCTAAAATTAATACTTCAATTACCTCCTCCTGATCACAGACTCATGGGCAGCACTATGATGAAAATCAAGGAGTTCTCATTGTTCCCTTTGTATGGTCCCAGTGCAATCTTACAATCTAGACAACAGTTTCCAAGTATCACACAACTCATGGGTCTGAATTGGGACTAGTAGTCTACAGCAGTCGTTCAAAACCTTTTTTTTACTCCAGGGCCCCTAAACTTAAATAGACAAACCTGCAGACCCCCCCAATCAGAGGCAATGCATGGGGCAATGGGGGGACACGGAGTCATGTGTCGTCGTCCCCCAGATTTCTACCTTCCTTTTGACCCTGCTCCCTAAAGTGCTGATGTAGTAGCATGGCAGAGCAGTGGTGTCTCCCCTGGGGTAGCTGCTGCCTGCTCATGGAGTCAATGTCTGTGAAGTAACTCCTTCTGATAGCAGGGGGAGATCTCTCCTCTGCAGTGATGCTGCAATTTTTGGTTGTGTCCCCCCAAAACCCAGAAAGGCTGGGTGGCACATTGACATGAGTCAGGGGGTGGAGGTAGCGGGGGCTCAAGCTCGGTCCTTGGTGGACTCCCTGAAATCTGATCAGGGACCCCCAGGGGACCCTGGACCCCTGTTTGAGAACCAGTGCTCTACAGAAGGGCTGAGTATTTTATCTCATTTTCTTCTCCCTCTACGCTTTTTGCTTTCTGTAAATACTAAGAACAGCATAAAAAAATACTGCAATACTGCCATTCTGTAACTGAAAGATGATGGAACTAGCAAGTGAAAAGAGTAATAGTACCATCAGCCATTCACTACATAAACATTACAGCAAGCCAGTAAGTGACGTTAAACTGGTCCTGAAGAAAAAGTCAGACAAGTCTGAGCGCATCCCCATCTTTTCCTCACCCTCCCAAACCTCCTCTGCCCTCCAGAAATACTTGTTCTTACATAGAACTTTATGTACGTAAATTGCTGTGCAAAAAGTTAATTATCACGTCACCCTCTGCCACCAAAGCAAAAATCATTATTCCCAAGTTACAGACAGACATCACTTTGTCTGATTCTCAAGTGACTTGCTCAAAGACACGTAAGTCAGTGGAGGAACCAGGCTTAGAACACAAAATGTCCTGACTTTCAGGCCCATAATAAACAATACTTTCCTCTGCAGCAAGTGATATGCTGAGGAGCTGGAACATCCATTACTGTAAGGATATGTCTACATGACAATTAAAAATCTGTGGCTGGCCCATGCCAGCTGACTCCTTTGAGGGGTCCCAGGCTCCAGCCCAAGCACAAACAACTACACCATAATAAACAACACCTTAGCCCAACCCCTACAAGCCTGAGTTAGTTGGCATGGGCCAGCTGCAGGTTTTTAATTGCAGTGTAAACATACCCTGACAGAAAAAGTTTCTACTACTACCTTGGATGCAGTGGCACTTCAGCACTCAGTGTAGCCACACTGGGCCAAGCACTGCCATCACCCCCAGGAGATGAGGACATCTCCTACCCACCTTAACCACGCAGGCTTTGAGCCACCACAACCCACGTTTCCACTGCCCCATGCGGACCTCTCCCTACCACTATTGGGCCCCAGCCACCATCACCACCATGACCCACATTTCCAATGCCCAAGCCAGCCACCTTTCCACCTGACAGGGTCCCCAGCTACCATCCCCCCCCCCTCGTTACCACTGGGCCCACTCACAGACATAGGGCCTTGCTGCCACCCCCTGTCACACCATCGTCCCGCAGACGAAGGGGGCCAGCAAGGCTGCCAAGAGCGGAAAGGCTGCGCCCCAGGGCCTCCTCACTAGGGTCTCCATTGCCCACACACTCACACTCTCTCACCTTTGCAAACGGGGGAGCTGGGGCTCTTCCTCTCCGGGGAGCTCCTGCCCTGCTCTGGGGAGCGCCGCCGCTGGCGATGCCGGACCCTGCCAGCCGAGGCAGTGGCACTGCCCTCCGGCAAAGGCGGGACGGGGGAGGCGCAGGGGGACAGAACAGAGCCTGGCAGCGGAGGGGGCGGCGGAGGAGGAGGGGGCGGCAGTTGGTGAGGGCGCGGGGGGCTCCCACGCGCTCCCGCCCCGCCGGCGCGCGTGGGGCTGCCACGCGAGGAGACAGAGGCGGCGGGGCCGCTGCCACCCCCTCCCCCGGGCGTCTGCGTGGCCACCGCGGGGCTGGCGCGCGCGCTGCCGCCGTTCGGGGGCGCTGCGCGCGTGGGGCTGGTGCTGCGCGAGGCAGGCGCCGCGCGTGAGAGACCCCCGCCTGAGGCGCACGCGGCGCCGCCGCCGCTCCTCGTGGGGCTGCCATGTTGCTGCTGCTGCTGCTTGAGCTGGAAGGGCACCGTGGCCCGCATGGGCTGCAGGCGGCTGCCCGCTCCCCCGCCTGCCGCCACGGTTGCCCCCCCTCCCCCCAAGGAGGTAGCAGGGGTGGGGGAGCCATTGCGCCTCACGCGCTGGTGGGACATTGCGTGTCCGGCGCCGGGAAGTGGGGCTCCGGGAGAGACCGCGGACGGCTCCTCAAGGGGGTGTAAACACCTCGCACCCCCCCTCCCCGAGCGCAAGGCCCCTCGCGCTGCCAACAGCCGACCCGCCTGCTCCGTGTGCCTCATCAACAATAGTGCCCCGGACGGCCGCACCGCCCTCCGCCGCCTGCCATTGGACACGCCTCAGCCCCGCTCGCGCCGCTACAGCGTCCTGATTGGCTACGGGGCGCGCTCCTGAGTGGCCGGGTGCGGGCTCTTAAAGCGGCACCACGGTATGTGCGCGTGCCCTAAGCCCCTGCACACACCACCGGCCCAGTCCCGTGCTGCCTCACGCTGTAGCCCGCCTCACCTGGGCTCTTGTCTCCCTCGACGGGCCCCAGGCTTCCGTTCCTCCATGCACGCCCCTCACCTCGGCCTCGGTCCAGCAGGTGGCCAGGTAGGTTATGGTTATAAATCTATATGCTACAAGCAAGCTCGTTCTTCACTCCCAACCGGTACTCACACTCCCACCCACCGCCCCTGCACTGGCTCCACACATTTACCAAAGGCATTTCTCAGCAGCTACCACAAGTAAGTGGGTCGTTTCTAGACCAAGCCATTTTAGAGCTATGAGGTACAGAAGTGGCCTGCAAAAGTGAGTTAGGGATTTAAATCCAAGCAGTGCTGTAGCATACCACTCTCTGAACAGATCTTTGATTTAGATCACATATGTGCACATGTAGTCTTTTGCATCAGTTACACAACTCACTCATTCTAACTAACTAACAAAATCTGTCTAAAATTCAAGTGAAGGTACATAGCTAGCCCCTGTCACCACAAGGACTCAGGGTTCTTTAATGTATTTCTGCTTGGAGCCACCCTGCCCACCCCAGGCCAGGGACTACTATAATCCCTATTTTACAGATGGGAAATTAGGGGACAGAGAGACCAAGTCAGGTGTCCAAAGTCAGAAAGGAAGTCGGAAGACGAACAGGGAATTGAACCTAGGTCTTCAAGAATTGTCATCAAGCTGTCCTAAGTATCTTTCATTAGTGTGGAACTGCCCAATTAATTGTTGTTAGTTCTAAATGCAGTAAACCAGTAATGAGAGCATAGTTACTCAACACCAAATTTAAAACATCACTCTGGCTAATTGGCTTTACTAATGATACCAGCTATCTGGAAGACATTCGGGAGACAGCAAAAAGTATGAGCTGTAATTGTTTCAGCATTAGTTATCTGATAGATTCCTATTTCATATCCCTACAATGAAACCTGTAAAAATAACTTAACTGCCTTATAGTTCATATGTTCAGATTATTTGGGATACAAAGAAAAGCTCTTCAACTTCAAACCATGACAAAATTGATACATGAACCTCTCTTACCATAGCTCCCTACCTACCACAACTGGCAAAATACCCTTCCTTCTTTGTTACTGAAAAGAACTTTCTACACTTGAAACTCACTTCAATAATGGCTTGCAAACACCATATTGCTATTGAATATTATCAGTGTGATTACCTATTTATAATCCCATAATCAAGTAAATGTTAAATTGTATCCCATAAATTATTAGTAATATATTGTTACTGTGCTTAGCCCTGCTCTATTAGTATACATTATCTTATTTGTATTAAGTGTTTTCAAAAATATTTTAATTAAAAGATTATGGAAAAATATTCTGATGGAAACAATCCTTATACATGTTTGTGCTAATACCAAATATTCAGATAAGTGGTTATGGGCATGAACTCAGGAAGGCCTTAAGACTAAAGTAATTTAGGTGAAACTATTTTACGCACTAAATGTGTGAAAGACTGGTAACAGGCACAAATAAGATATCATTTTAACTGAGGAGCACTATCTGCTCTTTGGGTTTGCTCCATATATGATATTATTTGTCACTGGCAGCGAGGATTGCTCAGTGAATGTCCTTGAGCAATAATAGACAATCTTCTTCACGATTTATCACCTCTCTCCAATGCTAGAAATTAAATGCAAAAAAGTTAATGCAATAAAATTAACCACACATAGGTCAGGAAATTCAATAGTAAAGATCTGTACAGCAGTGTTAACTTAGCCACATTATGTTTGTGACAGTACATTTTACTTGAGTTCTCTGCCCATCTCAGGTACTCCTTTAGTTGCTTTGGGCAAATCATTTAGTCCAAAATTTGCAAACTTCAGTGCCTAAAGTTGGGTACCTACAAAGGCGACACTTGGGAAGGTCAAGAAGGGTCACATACTCCTCCCCAGCCCCCTCCCGCATACTGAACCCCTCATTTCTGCCCCCCCTGGAACCTGCACCCCCTCCCACACTCCAACCCCCTGCCTCAGCCCAGAGCCCCCACTCATACTCTGAACCCCTCGGCTCCATCCCCCAGCCCAGAGCCTCCTCCCGCACCCTGAAAAAATGGTTATTCACCTTCTCGTAACTGTTGTTCTTTGAGATGTGGTCATGTCCATTCCAATCAGGTGTGCGCACGCCACATGCACAACAGCTGGAAGATTTTTCCCCTAGCAGTATCCGTAGGGTCGGTCTGGGCACCCCTTGGAGTCATGCCCTCACGGCGCTCAATATAGTACCCTGCTGACCCAACCCCCCTTCAGTTCCTCCTTGTCAGCTAGTCTGACAGTGGGGCAGGAGGGTGGATATTGGAATGGACATGAACACCACATCTCGAAGAACTGTTTTTTCTTCTTTGAGTGCTTGTTCATGTCAATTCCAATCAGGTGACTCCCGAGCCTAAGTTACGGAGGCGGGGTCGGAGTTGTCCACTGATTGGAGCACTGCTCTACCAAAGGCCGCATTGTTTCTCACCTTCTGGGTGATGGCATAGTGCGCGGTGAAAGTGTGTATGGACGACTACATCGCCGCTCTGCATATTTCCTGGGTGGGAACCTGCGCCAGGAATGCTGCTGAAGAAGCCTGCGCCCTGGTGGAGTGAGCTGAGGGGCAAGCACCTCTGCCAGTTTGTAACACTCTTGGATGCAGGATGTGATCCTCGATGAAATTCATTGAGAAGAGACTGGAAGACCTTTTATTCTGTCTGCCACAGCCACGAAAAGTTGTCCAGGCTTTCAGAATGGCCTTGTTTTCTCGATGTAAAAGGCTAATGCTCTGCGGATATCCAATGAGTGAAGTCTCTTCTCCCTGCCGCTTGAGTGCGGCTTAGCATAAAACACTGGGAGGAAGATGTCCTGGTTCTTGTGGAAATGGGAGAAAACCTTCGGGAGGAAAGCTGGGTGTGGTGTGAGCTGAACCTTGTCCTTATAGAACACAGTGTAAGGAGGCGCTGATGTTAGGGCCTTGAGCTCAGATAACCTCCTGGCTGAGGTTATCACTATCAGAAATGTGACTCTCTACGAGAGGTAGAGCAGGGAGCATGTCGCTAGCGGTTCAAAGGGTGGTCCTATGAGCCTGGAAAGGACCAGGTTGAGGTCCCAGGCCGGGACTGGCTGTCGAACTTGCGGATATAGCCTGTCAAGACCTTTGAGGAAACTGCTGACCATAGGGTTGACGAAGACTGACCAGTCCTCTGCACCTGGATGGAAGGCAGAGATGGCGGCCAAGTGAACCCTTATTGATAACACGGACAGTCCCTGCTGCTTGAGATGGAGAAGGTAGTCCAATATGAGTGGAATAGAGGCAAGTGTCGGGGACGAACGGTGCTGTGCCGACCAGATTCAGAATCTCTTCCACTTGGCAAGGTAGGTGGCCCTGGTTTTCTTATTGCCAAACAGGATTTGTCTAACCTGGTCCGAGCAGGAAAGCTCCACCGGATTTAGCCATGGAGCTTCCACGCCGTGAGGTGCAGGTGCTGGAGACAGCCGTGATCCTGAGTTATTAAGTCAGGGAAGAGCGGCAACGTCACTGGGGCTTCCACAGACATTTCAGGAGAGATGCGTACTAGTGTTGCCGGAGCTAGGCTGGGGCTATCAATATTACCACCACTCGATCCCTTGGTATCTTGAGGAGCACCTTTGTGAACGAGAGGGGTGAGTGGGAACATGTATAGGAGACCGCCTCCCAGGGTTAACAATTATGGTGCCCTACGCAGCCTGAGCACCTGCCCCTCCCAAGGTTCTGGGCTGTGCTCAAGGCCTGCAGGGCTGGGGAGGCAGGAGCTGTGGGGGGCCCCACAGACCCAGAGTGGCCCGGGGGATTAGCGGGGGGCCAGGAGCAGGAAGTGGAACAACACAGCCCCAGCCTGCTCCGCGACCCCCACTCATGTCGCTCAGGGGAGTGGGCTTGGGGGAAGGGGTCCCCCCCCGCACTCACCGGCAGCGATGGGAAGCGGAGCAACCCAGCCCCAGCCTGCTCTACTCCTCAGCTTCCCGTCACCGGTGAGTGCGGGGGGCGGTCCTTTCCCCAACCCCCCCGCCTCACCCTAGTGACACGGCTGGGGCCAGGGAAGTGGAGCGAGCTGGGGCCAGGTCGCTACGCTTCCCACTGCCGGTGAGTGCGGGGGGTGGTCCTTTCACTGGCAGCGGGAAGTGGAGCGACGTGGCTGGGAGCTGGCGGAGTAGAGCGGGCTGGGGCCGGGTTGCTCTGCTTCCCACCGCTGCCGGTGAGTGCGGGGTCACCGGGGGAAGAGGCGGAATGGGGGCGGGCCGGGGCGGAGCAGGGGGGAAGGCTAAAAGGTGGGGCAGAGGGAGTTGTCTGGGGCCCCACACTCCCCTAGGGATGCCCCTGCCCCTTGCAGTGGGCACAGCCCACGGGGGGGGCCGGCCGAGGGATCAGGCTTGTCGCCGGAGCTGGTACTGCCACGTATGCAGCACGCAGCTGCCTAGGGCACCATGAAATTTGGGGCAATTTAGGGGTACCCCAAATTTCATGGTGCCCTACGCAGCTGCGTATTCTGCGTATGCCTAGGGACGGCCCTGCGGCATAGGCAGTGACTCCATGGGTGCTCTGAGGCTGGAGCACCCACGGGGAAAAATTGGTGGTCTGCACCCACTGGCAGCCAAGCTTCCCCACCCCGAGCATGCCGCTTTCCCACTCCTCCGCCTACCTTCCAGCATTTCCTGCCTGGCTATTTGGCAGCGTTAACAAGCTCCAGGAGGCAGGGGGGAGGAGCAAGAACATGGTGTGCTCAGGGGAGGAGGCGGGAAAG